GCTGGGCCTTAGGACCATGCTTCTCATCTGTGTTGGAGAACCATTTTCTTCTAAAAGACTTCTCTTCTGTTAGAAATTGATACTTATAATAAAAATGAATTACTTGAAAAATGAAGAGACATAAAATGAAAGTATACATTTTTTGTTATTATGTTCAACAAACAAAACTTTTCTGTCAAATTGTTATAAAAGTTTCTAAATACTTGTAGTTTCTTAAATCAGTAACAGCACTTCACAAGTCTGCACTGGACTGTGGACCCCACTTTTGAGTAGCACTACTTCAAAGCAATTAATTTGGTATTAGTGCGCAGGCAGAGCCATTGAGAGATGATTGCTGAAGAGTTAATGAGAGACCTGGACAGGTTGTTAACAGCTTGAGTGGACTGGAAGATCTGGATTAGAGACATTTGGAAATTTAAATGAAGGCAAGTGAGATGTTGTGGATTTGAGGGAGAGGAAAGAATCAAAAGACGTTAACTAGGTTTTAGACTTAAGGGGGAAATGAGAGTGCCCTAGTGGAAATAGAGACTAGTTTGGGGAGAGAGATACAAATTAGGTTTACAACAAAAATTCACCATATAGCATTTTTCTGTTAATTAGCAGACACTCACATACATCATTTGGTTGATAATCTAAATTTGCACTCTCCAACAGGCTTTTGTAACTGTAACAAACTTTGAGGATATAATTACACAAACCCATAACCAAAACATGCCTGAGATTTTTTGCTTGTATCCTTAGTCTCATTTGTTGTTGCAGTAACTGTTGTTGGGCCTTTGGCCAGGAAATTGTGACTCCTGGGCAGGAGGAGGAGCTAGGGATAAAGTTCACCAGTGCCAGAGAAATTCTATTCCAGATGGATTCATGTGGAGCAACAGTGATATCCAGTGACAAGTTAAATTAGACACAGAGGTGTTTTCTCCAGCACTGTCTCAGAAGAGACATACCGTGGAGGGGCCTGGTTCCGACTAAAACGGTCTTTTTGAAGTAAGGTTAAAGTCACACACACAAAAATTATACTAGGAATTTGAAGAAGAATTCTGTTATGTGACTTCAAGAACTAGTTGACTCAGATAGTTTCACACTTTGCAGAACGGCAACCAGTGACAGATGAGGTAATGCTGCTTTGAATTACAAGTTAAATCTCAAAACCATTAAGAGTTTGCTATTTACAAAATTCCAAATTTAATAAATTGCATGTTCATGTTCCTTTAGTGTGAGAATACTAGATTCCTGTTCTTAAAGCACATTATGTTAATAGTCTTATTTCTTTTGTTTAATGTCTGTATTTATTTGGATAGCATTTCAAGTTTTATGCCTTACTGCAGTGCTGTATGATAGTAAAAGCTGTTACATTTGTCTTTGTGTGGACGTCTGTGCTCAGTTCTATAGTGTTTCTTGGTCTGTCTGCTAAAGGTTGTGTCTGTTGTTTTAATGCTCAGAAAATCTATATCTTGCAAATGACTTAGTACATAGGAATTTCTGGCTGATAATTGCATTTTAATGTTGGATGCTTAGTTCAGTCGTGCTTTCTAGGGTGGCAGCTTTGTGCTTTATTTAAAGAAAGCTTTGGAAAGTTTCACAAGTATATGCAGGCTCTTGAAGCTAGAGACGTGGAGTATGTTCCACTGGTTAATAATTTAGAAAAGTGACACAAGTTAACAGGCATTAATGAAGATACAGTCAAGGTTCTGGGACCAATAGAAAATTTTGGATTCCCCAAGGCAGATAAGGGTATTTTTGTTTTAAAAGTGTGGTGAGATGGTGAATCAACCTTTTATTGATAGAGCACCTAGCACTTTCTTTTATATAATAACAGTAAAGAATATTTATTAGTTTGACGCCAGGAGATCAGTTTCGCTTTAAGGCTATATTCTGGAGACGCGGTATTTCTGGCTCAAGGCTGCCTCTCAGCTGAAGTCAGTGCATACTTTCAGCATTTGGATGGTCATTATCTTTATAAATCATGGCATATATATTACTGCAGTTATCTATAATGCAGCTGTTCCCTTTTGTCATCACAGCTTTGCTTATGCACTTTAGGTATTCATGCATGAATTAGATTTAATTCCCTATTGCCCCCTTCTCCCATATTGTAGCTTAAATAGGGAAAGAAAAGGAGTGGTGAGAATAGATGTGAGGTTTTTCTTTTGTTTCATAACAGTAATAAATTATAGGGGAGACAGAAGTGATTGTTTTTTTAAATTCAGGAGTTGCTTCTGTAGGTGGGGGTACTTTAAATGAAAATGAAAAGATAAAGGATATTTGGTTTCATAGAAAAGCATCTTTCTAATTTTAGACATCTAAAACATCTTACTAGTTTTAGCTACTCCCTAAAGGACAGCTTCTAGGATGTATGTCATAAATGGTACCTGGTTTGTAATAGGCGTTTGACAAACATGTTGATTGAATAAAATGACCAGTTAGTCAAAGAGGAAAGAGTGTGATTTAATGGATATTTAGCAATGATTATTTTTGCAGAAACAACAGATTTTCTTATTCCTGATAGATATCATTCCCAGAGTTTCTATGGACAATGCCTAAGGATAATAGTATGATCTCTGTATCCTTAAAAATGTGTTAAGGAGTACAGATTAACCTCTCTTCTGGATGAGAAAGAAGTGGGTGGATTATCTAGCTGGGTCTGTTTCTTTCTGCCTTTAGCAGTGATTGATACCAGCAAAGTATCTTTTTGTCTATGATTGTAGCTGTGTCTAAAATCAGCTTGCATCATTCTTATGTCAGAATCAAAGCTGTTCCTTTTATTATGTGGTCCTATATCTCTCTCTCCTGGATAGAAAAATCTTCCAAGTCTGTTCCTGCTAAATTCCCACAGAATATTTTAGGCATGTCAGCTGTTTGGGCTTTGATCAAGGATTTGATCCAGTTGGCCCCCTAGCCTGAATTGAGAGTGTGTTTGAAAAGTCTCAGCTTCAGTGTTTCCAGAGTTAAAACCATTGCTCAGTGTCTTTACCTTCTCTTGTGCCTTCATAAGGATTTATGTAACTGAAAAAGGTGGTAATAAAGTAGATGCTCCAGTTGGTAGTAATCGAGTGAAATTTGATGAAGTGGTAGAAGGGTCATGGTGATATATTTGGAGTTTGGGGGTATTTTTAAAAAGATTTGAGTGGGTGTCATTTGTCCTCTAGTTCCCTGTATCTTTCAGCTCTTCACTACTCTTCCTTTCCCATCCATTATTAACCCAATCAAAATAAGGGTTGATTTTCCAGAATAACAGGTTTTCTTAGGGAAAGAAAGTATAAATGTTTTACATAACATCTCTCTCAGGGACTAAGAGTTTTATAAAGCTTATCTAGTGTGCATAGCACACTGTGAGAGAAATAAGTTCATATTTTTTAGAGAATAACATTTCTGAATTCAAGTCCACCAGTTAAAATATTGTAAGCAAATATTTGATTATTTGCATATAAAATTAGTGCGTGCATTCTGAGATGAGAGGAAAAGCTTTCTATTAAAGTTAAAACAATAGTTCTTGAGTTGGTGAAGAGGTTTTTCTTTAAGTTGTTATCTAGATTAATGGTTTCCAAACTTGAGTATTTCATCAGTTAAAGTATGGAACAGTCATCCCTCTGGATGCATACTTAAATTACATATACTGCTATCATTACTTGTGTATAGTAGAAAACATACACAAATTAGACATTTTAAAAATAGGAGATAATTTTGAGTAGAAGCTGTAACCCTTTCTTCTGTATTCCAGGGGAGTCTTTCATATCCTCAGGTGCAGTCACTCCTCTTTGGAGACTACTGACCTATATTGTCAGTGGGAGAAGCCTAGCCCAGGTATCTTTATTTTTACCAAGTTTCCTGGGTGATTTGTAGCATTCTCACGTCTCATAGTTACTTATGAGATGAAGACAAAGAAAAGTTTTGGTAATAAGAGGATAAATCATTCAGTAATTTTGGCCACCAAACTTTGGGATGAGATGGAGGGGATACCCTTATTTTCAGAGATGATTGAAACTTACCCACAGCGTCATCATGATGATGATCCTGCATACTATTATGTTTAGTTTTCCTTGTGTCTTCATAGTTACCTTTCTGAAGTTTGAATCTGCTTATTGCATTTCATCAAAATCTGATAATTTTTTCTTGCCTGCAGGATAAAGCCCGATCTCTCCAGTGTGGCACACAAAGTCTTCATCAATCTGACCCTTGCTATCTTTTTTTAGCTTCATGACCTTTATTGCTTCTCTCCCTTCTCTGGAAAACTTGCATTTGCAACAGAAAAGTAAAACCAAAGAAAACTCAGCTCCAGTAAATGGATTTTGGTTCACTGCAAACCTTATCTTTACTTTGTCATTCTTTGTGGAGTGCCTTTCTTGCTTTGTCCTACTGGAAAACTCCTACTGATTGTTTAAGATCAGCTCAAACAACTTGTGCTATCTCCTGCATGTTATTTTATAGCATTTATTGAAATACTTTAATTATTTGCTTAAACCTCTCTCCTGCTACTGCTGAATTCCTCAAGGATAGAGATTGGTTAAAATTTAAGTACCATGAGGGCAGGTACTCTTTTGTTCTCTGCCATATCACAGTGCCTGATATGTAGTAGGCATTTGGTAAGTATTTGTTGAATAAATCTGTTTATATTTATGTCTTTAGTGTATGGCATATGATAGGCTTTAAGTGAACCTCTGTTCATTAAATAAATTATAAATGAGTGAATGAATTATAAAATCTCAGAAATAAGCTATTTTATGGGGTCAGGCTTAGAAAAGGAGAACTGATTCTCTGAAATCTTGAGTACATAGCTTTGTTAAAATAAAGACACAGTAAGAAAATTGACATATTTTTGTGTAGTATCTGATGTCACCTATGGTATAAGGAGGACTTGAATAATTTATATTGTGAATCTTAATATTGGTATTTAAATGATATCTAAAAAGATAGCCAGATAATTCCATTGAATTTAATTTTTTTTTTTTTTTTTGGCTACAGTGTTATCATTTTTTACTCTTTTTTTTTTTTTTCTTTAGGGTGTTTGTGAACCGGAGTTTAGCCATGGAAAAAATAAAGTGTTTTGGTTTTGACATGGATTATACACTCGCTGGTGAGTAGCACTTTCTGATTGCTTAAAGAACTACTACTTTGGATACAACCTACTAGACCTTTCAATAAACACTTGTTGATATAGTCACATATTTAGCTGCCAGAAGCTCTTGTTACCAGGCTGCTTTCATTGACATATGTGAATATTGAAATTATCAGATTTCCTTGAGATTTAGATTGTACAGATAGAACAAGTGCTAAATTAGAGGCCCTGGTAAGAAATGATACAATGAAAGTATGCATTAATATGTATATTTGTGTACTTTTGGCTTTTACTGTATTAAGCTGTTCATCAAGGATGGAATTTTGTGTCTGTCTACCACAGGTAAACTTTTATCAGTTAAAAATTTCAATGTTATGCTTAAGACAAATGGAAAATGTGTTGGTTTTCTTTTGAAATGATCACATATATACTATGTAAAGACTTTAAAAGCTAGAGCTATTACTTTTTTCATTATCAAATAGACCTTAGACACCAACATTGTTGTTTTTGCTGTTCTATCTCTGAGATATATTTGAAATACTTAATGTATTAGCCAATAGTTGCAACATATTTTTAGAACTTATGAAGTTTTTATTAAATTATTTGCAGTCTGGCAAAAATGTCATTTAATTTAAGAGGTAGTAGTGATGAACAACAAGGATCTACTGTACAGCATAGGGATCTATATATTCAATATCTTATAATCTATAATGGAAAAGTCTTTAAAAGAATATATATACATATATAACTGGATCACTTTGCTGTGCACCTGAAGCTAATACCAACATAGCGAATCAGTTTTGCTTCAAATTAAAAAAATAGACTAAAAAAGGAGGCGAAGAACTGAGTTGAGCACATGTTTATATGTTTGTACCTGCACATGTGTACAACTCAAAGAGTCTTTCAGAAATTTTCTCTAAAACTATTGTCTTTAAGTACACAAAACATTAAAATGTATTAATTCACTTATCTTCAGAAACTTTATATAACAGTGTTAGAAAACTGACTTTCATCTCAAATTATATAAATTTCAATTTGATGTTCAATTTAGGCAACTGTAAGTGAATATTAAAAATGGACAAAAATGAGCACATGCAGTTTATAGGTACTTGTTACATGGATGTGGGTATATTTTACCAAGCAAGTTATATATTGAAAATATACACTGACTTGATTTGAATTTCTCTTTCTTCTCTCTATATTCTTTGTCATTTATTTAGTTTTCTTTAACCTTCAAGCTGTTTTTGCAGTGGATTCTTTTATATTTCCCCAGTTGGACACAGATGCTTTCAGCTATTCTTACCAGAAAGCAGTTAGAAACACTGTGCTTTCTCAGTGTATATCTTGTTGTCCAAATTGGAAGAAAATCCTGCAGTCTTTCCTTTCTAGAATTCTGCTGTCCAGGGAAAAGATCATTTGGCAGCTGAAAGGGGTATTAACTAAAGCAGAGATAGAAGTTAATGGGGCTGAAAAGTCACAAACTTTTTTTTCTTGGTTACTAAGACCATCTTACTGTATTGAAGTAGTTTAATAAGTATTCATTGGAAACTTGTAATGTGCCTGGTGTGTTTTGTTACTGAGCATTGACATAACTGTATATTCTATAGAATAATTTAAAAATGAATTCTCTTGTTTAACAAAAAAGTCACTGAATCTTGGTTTCTAAACTTTAAAGCTACCTTATGGTTTCTTCTTTTTATATGCTTTTTTTTTGTAATCTTACTTTATATTTTAATGTTTATTCTTAGTTTAGACACTATACTTTGCTATATATAATAGTGATTATTATAATTTCTTAGGTACTTATTGTATGCCAAGCCCTGTTCTAAGTGTTTTACATTGGTTATTTCATTTAATATGCAGATTATCTCATTCACATCACTTATTTAATACTTACAGAATCCTACGAGACAGATTCTACTATTATTGTCTTCATTTAACAGAGGACACTAAGATTTTGAGGGCTTTGTCTAAAGACATTCAGTTGTGATATAGCTGCATGTATACATATGTATATAATATATGTTACTATAATAAGTTTACATTATATTTTGAATAATGACAGTTTATAGCAAGGTATAATTTGAAAGTGATACGCACTTCCCCCTCCCCCTGCAGACAAACCAACCAAGACTTAAGCACTCAAAAAGACAAAGCTCTTTAAAGTAGCCCCCTTTAAAAAAAAAAATAAATAAATAAAGTAGCCCCCTTGAAAGACTATATATTTTTCCAGCAGTTCTATTTTGGATGAAAAACATTGTTACTATCCTTGTGGTATTGCCTTCACTTCATAAAGCATGTAGGAAAACAGCTTTACTGATTTCATATTGCCACCTGTTTTCCATAATAAATATTCATAAAATTTATCTGAATAACTTGGTTTTTAAACAAACAAACCACACTCTTGAAGTACTAAGGACTTTTCATGAGAAAAATGTGCCATAAAGTACAGTGACAAGACTAAAAGAAGTGTTTTTTTTTTAAAGCTTTGAGTATTTGGGATAAATATCCCTGAAATAAGTGGAATTGCCTCACAGGAAAGGGCTTATATTTTCTCTGAAGCCTTTTCTGAGACATTGTCTTCTCTGTGCAATCCTGACACCTTGGTATATCACTCCCCAGAGCAATTTGTAATTCACTTGCAGTTTTTGTTCACTTGCTTGTCTCCCCTTTGGCCTGCTAGTTCCTCAAGGGTAAGGAGTTTCTTTTTCACATTTATGTCCTATGTGTGGCCTAAAATCTGGAGTATATTAGTTGTTCAGTGAATATTTATTGAATGAACAATTTGGGTGCATAAGTTTTAATATATCAGTTTAAGAATCAATCATGGTATTTTATGTTTACCCAATATAAAATATACACTAATTATTCAAGTTAAATACTTTTAAGCATGGACTCATTTTAAAAATTTTAATAAACTTTATTGAAGAATAAGTTACATACAATGAAATACATGCATTTTAATTATATATTGACTTTGACAAAATGTATATGCCTGTGTAACCAGCAAACATCATCACCGCAATGAAGATAGAGAATTTTTCTGTCACTACAGAAAGTTCCCTCACTGCCTTTGTGAAGTTACTTCTCCTCCTTCCCCTCTTTGCCCCATGGCTTTTTGTCACTACAGATTAATTATACCTTTCCAGAATCTCATGTAAATGGAAACATACAGTGATGTACTCTGTTTCTACCTTCTTTTGCTTAGCATAATGTTTTTGTGATTCATTCATGTTGTGTCTGTCAGTAGGCAGTTCATTCTTTTTTTACCCCTAACTTTATAAACTTTTTATTTTGAAATATTTTTAGATTTGTGGAAAAGTTGCAAAAGTAATAGTTTGCCTTTACTCTCTCCTATGGTAACATCTTGCTTGACCCATGGTTGACTGTAGGACAATTATAAAAATGAAGAAATTAACATTAGTACAATACTGTTAATTGAACTACAGACTCTATTCAGTTTTTACACTAAAGTCCTTTATTCCAATTCAAGATCCAAACCAGAATTTCACATTGGATTTAGTTGTCATATTTCCTATGTCTCTTCTGTTATACTTCTGAGTCTTTCATATCTTTCATTGCTTTGACACTTTTGAAGAATCCTGGTTAGATGTTTTTGTAGAATGTTTCACAATTTGGATTTGTCTGATTTTTTTTTTTCCATGAATAGATTGAAGTATTGTGCATAGCTGGGAAAAATACCAAAGAAGTATGTGCCCTTTTTAGAGCATGATACTAGGGGCCCATAATAGGTCTTATTACTAGTGATGCTAACCAGTGAAAATTATGAAATTCTCTTTTCTCTTTAAACTTTACTTTTTTGGGTCGGGAGAGCAGGTAGCAGTCCTTTTGTTTTTTTGCCGCAATTTGTGTGTCCATTTATCTGTTGACTGGCATTTGGGTTGTTTCCAGTTTGGGGCTATTGTGAGTAAAACTGTTAACATTTGTGTAGGAGTCTTTTTGTGGATGTATATTTTTATTTTTTTCTGGGAAGACATTTAGGAGTGTAATTGCCATATAATGTTTACCTTGTGGGAAACTGACAAATGGTTTTTCAAAGTAGTGATATTATTTTAAATTCGTACCCAGAAAACATGCAAATTCTAGTTGCTCCACTCCTATCTACACTTGATATTGTCAGTGCTTTGAATTTTAGCCATTCTAGTGAATATGTAATGTTATTTCACTGTTGACTTTATTTTGTATTTCTCTGATAACTAGTGATGTTGAAAATCTTCATGTGCTTATTGTGTATATGTGTTTCTTTTGTGAAGTGCCTGTTCAAATGCTTATGTTTCAATTGGGTTGTTTATCTTTTTATTGTCAATTATAGAAGTTCTGTATATATTCTGAATGCTAATCCTCTTTCAGATACACATCTTGTGACTGTATTGGCCAATATGTGTTAGTCTATCTATTGACATTCTATTCCATTGATATCAGTGAATGTCACATGGTCTTGACTGGTTATTGTAGGTTTATGGTTAGTCTTAAAGTAAGGTAGTGTTAAGTCCTTTAACTTTATTCTTTTCTCAAATTATTTTGATATTCTAGGTCCTTCATATTTCTGTATAAATTTTAGAATAAACTCATCAGTTTTTCAAAAAAGCCTGGATGGGATTTTGTTTATGATTATCTTCATCCCTTATTCCATTTGATATCTTAACTATCTTAACTATATAGAATCTTACAGTCCATGAACATGATACATTATTTGATTTATCTAATCTTCTTTAGTATCTTAACAATTTTTTGTGATTTTTGGTGTAAAGGTTTCATATTTTGTTACATTTATCTGTTAAATATTTCATATTTTAATGTTTTAAATGGTGTTTTACATTCCATTTTCTATTTTTTTTGTCATTAGCATTTGGAAATGCAGTGTGTTTTTGTGTCCTGTGACCTGCTTAATTTGCTTATTAATTCTAGTAACTCTTTTGTAGATGCCTTAGAATTATCTACCTCTATTGGCAACCCACTCCAGTCCTCTTGCCTGGACAATCCTATGGATGGAGGAG